CCAGCCAGCCAGCTGTCTGGGCACCGGATGTGGGCGAACCCCAGTAAAGGATTGCCCTTGAGTCAAGCGACTCTCTCAGCTAAAGCAGTGCTGAAGCGAGCTGACCCTTGAGGCTTGTCTGCTGATAACACCCCAGAATCTGGATCAAGAATTTTCTTTTAAAAGTCACCCCTGATTTGGTCCTAGATGTCATTATTTCTAAATATTTCCTTTTAGCTCTGGTACTCTTGTACACAGTGGGCATCTTCTGAACATGTATTAACTCCATTTCTTTAGTTTTATCTTTTGATACCAATGCAGTTTTTCTTCAGTTTTAAGGCCCACCTTTAATTTCACTTCCTACTGAAAAGCTTTTCCTGTTGCAAGCCCTTAAAGGACTTCTCTCTACCCTATTCTTAGAATAAAGTAAAACTTTAATGTCACTCACAAGACACTGTAATCTGGTCTGTTAATTTACCGCTCCTAATGAAGCTTTTATCCCATTCCCCTACATTGTCAGCCAAGGTAGCGAAATTATGTCTTATTTACCTTTTTATCTTCAGGGAATACCACAATGTCTTTGACATGATAGATGCATCATTGTTAAATTGAAACAGAAAGTAAATAGTCTTCAGTGGTAAAATTACTTTTCTGAGAGCTGCTTTCCTTAAGAGAGCCAGCATCTCATCAACATTATTTCTTATCCATGTTTATTGTAGTATGAAGAAATTTATAAGACTTCTGCACTTTGATTTTATAGCTAGTCATTCCCAGGGTTCCGGAATACATACATTTACCATAAATATGGTAGGAAATATTTCTTCTAACCTAAACTGGAGAACATTTACAACTCTAGAGTTATAAGGAGCCACAGAAGTTGTCTATTTTAAGTTCCCCAGTTCACAGTCAAATAAACTGGTCTGAGGGAGTTAAATAATCTGCCACCAGCCACTTAGGCAGCTGATAAAGTTGAAGCTACAATCAAATGCCTTGAATGCTCACTTAGTCATCATTGTTGTCATCAGCATTTTAGAGACCCCTTTGTGAGCCAGGTATACTTCTAAACTTGATGAGTACTTTTTCACAATCCTATGAATTGCTATTATTAACTTCAATTAGAGTAAGGAAGTTCAGCCACAGAGAGGTTAATTAACTGGCACACAGTGGGAAATGCACACTAGTAAACGCTCAAACACACCTTTTTTATTTTCAGCTTCAAGAAATGCATCAATGCATATAATATATTAAAGGTAGAACTCCTTCCGTCAGGAGGTGGAATCGACTTCCTGAGCCCTCAATCTGGGCTGGATGGGCAGCATTTTACCTCACTGTGACAGTCAAATTGAGATTGAAACACTGTGTGACTTTTAGGGAAACCCTCAAGAGGTTTGCAACATTGCATATCACCTTCTAGCTGCTAGGAGACTGCCATGCTAAGAAGCCTAGACGAGTCTCCCTAAATTGAAAGACAGCAAGGAGTGAAAGGCGATGACAGCAAGTACCATGTTAGTGAAAGACTGTTACCAAATGGGTGGGTGCTTGTGAGGGAGGGATTGAGGAATGATTGACACACTAGACTGAAGCTCAGGATTATTGCAGGAGAGATTCTTGACGGTAGGAGGGAATCAAAGAGAGGAACCCATTATTGTTGGGGGCAGGTTTACTTTCATAATCTCACATGGGGACTTTCCCCATTCTGGGGCTTTTCCACTACCCCAGTTTTCCTCATTGCATCACTTTGCCCCCACCAGTATGGAGCCTCCACAAGTCACTGAGTGCTTCTATATGCCTCCGATGGTTGCCAACCTCTGCGCGTTAGCTCAGTGGCTGGCAGCTTTTGCCAGGCTTTCTGCTTTCTGCTCCCTCAAACACCCAGCCTCAGTGCTCCCTTATGACCAACTCTTGCCCTAGCCAGCCCCAGAGCCAGCTAGTTCTCTACCCTCTCACTGTCAAGGGCTGTTCAGTCATTCTAGTCACCAACTAGCTGTATCCACAGGACTATACCCAGGTGAGACCAGAAGAATGGCCCTGCTGAGCTTAGCCCAAACTGCTGCCCCACAGATTGTGACAAACAGATGGTTGTGTTTTAAGCAAATATATTTTAAAGCAGTTTCTTATATAGCAATAGATAGCTGCTATAATGTATAATATCATTGCTTGGTTAGTGTCAGCATGGTAATTTTTTCTATTTTTTCTATTTAAAGTAAACTTGGAATAGACAGCATATAATTAGTGCTATTTTTTCTTTTAAATCTAATCTGATGATCTCTGTTTTTAATTGGCATATCTAACCCATTTATATTTAAAGTGTTTATTGATTAGGTAGATTAAAATTGACCATCTTTGTGACTACTTTTTTTTTTATTTTTTTTTTTTAAGATTTATTTATTTATTCATACAGAACTGGGGTACAGGCCAGAGATGCGGAGGGTGAGAGGATTCACCAGAGACAGAGTGGGGAGCAGAACAGGCAGATCGACGAAGTACACTGCTGAGGGGAGCAGCGGGCGGGTCAGGAGAGGTCTGCCACGCCATGTGGTCACCTCCGGGGCAAGCGGGAATCGAACTCATGCGGAAGCGGCTTTTAGATTCTCAGTGCTGTGCTTTAACCCGCTGCGCCACCAGGGAGGGCCTGTGACTACTTTTTATACATTGTGATTATTCATTCTGTTTTTACTTCTCTTTTGTTTTTTATATAATTACATTTTACTTTTTCTTTTGATGCATCATTTAGATTAAAAAAAAAAAACACTTTTTAGTACTTGTCTTAAAGCTTACACTGTATGTTTAAAAGTAACCCGAAGTCCACCTGCAAATAACACTATGCTGAGTCAATTTATGAGAGTATATTTCATATTGTACTCTTCCATCCCGTATGATATTGCTGGCAATCATTTCACTTACCCATTTGCTACAGTCACCCTGGACAGATCATCCAGGCAGAAAACCACTAAGGAAGCGGAAGATCTGAATAACACTATAGACCAAGGGGACTAACAAACATATACAGAACACTCCATCTGACAGCTCTTGAATGCATATTCTTCTCAAGCACACACAAAACATTCCATAGGAAGGAACATTTGTTGGACCAGAAAGCAAATTTTAATAAGCGTAAGAAATTTAAGAAACTAAATTTTCTGACCCTATCAGTATGAAACTAGAAATCAATGCCAAGAAGTATACTAGAAAATTAAAACATGTCTTAAGGGAAGCTGCAAAACCTTTTTAGATTCATCTCCATATAAAAACCTACTTTCCCATGGAAGGGTGCCTCCCCAGGTGGTAGTACTGAACACATGCCAACAGAGGGCACTCTGCTCTAGGCCAGCCAACTCTGAGCTTCTAAGCAAGAGGGGGAAATGCCAAAATCAACAAGGGAGAGGTCACCACAGAAAATATACAGGGGCTTTTCTTGGTTCCTGGGAGAACCTGTTGGCTTTCCTGGAAGGGAAGATCCCCCTCATGATCCTCCCTATGGCTATGGTCTCAGGAAATTTCTTACTCTTCCCATTAGTCCACACTTAAATCTCCAGAAATTCATAAGAAATATTGGTCAAGTGCTCCAATTAGTTTACTGTATCCAGTAACTATTGCTCCAGGTTATATAGCAGACACAGTATCTCTGGATATGCATGTCTTTTTAGATTTTAGAGTGGTTATTTGCCCTTTGACCTCAGTTCTCTGATAGATTCAAGATAAGTTATGGATTCTGTTTGTCTGGTTTTTCTTGTTGGGAAGCAACTTCTAAGTTCTTTACACATCAGAGCAGAACATAGATGACTAAGAGAACCCCTACTACTGAGAACACAGAAAGTAGGAGTCACAGTGAGGGCTTAACTAGTTCCTTAAACTTGGGTTTGAACTTGTCACTGGAATAAAGTCAGGGTTCATTGTAATCTATAGTATGCACAGTATTTTCTTGAGAGGTATTTTGGCAAGTGTTTTTTGAGAAATGAATGATTCAAGTGGTAATTGAAAGTAGGGCTTGTAAAGAATAGGCTAATGGAAGCATTGTTGGAGAAATACAGAATAGCTGGATTGGGTTGGAGGAATCTTGGAGATTCAGTGGGTACTAAGGCTGGAAAAGTTAGGTTGTGTATTTGGACTGTGAAATGTTTACCACATTCTGTGGTGAGCAGAAAATCATTTTAAGACTTGGAAATGTTAACAGCAAACATGTGAACAATCAATCCAGCAACAGTATTGGGTGAGCTGTAGTACACTGGACTAAGTAATATGAAGCGCAGGATTTGGTTTCTGACTAGACGGAAAGGAGAAATTGAGTAAGGCTGTGATATCCCATTATTAAAATCAGAAATACGAGAGGAAAAGTCCAGGGGTCTGGCATATAATGTGAAAAGTTTGAAATACAAGTGGAACACCCAGCAGGCACTAGCTTTCAGTGGCATCCGTGTGTGTAATGGAGCTGACACCTTCAACAGAAATGTCTTTGAATGTCTTTGAAGAAGAGCAAGAGCTAGAGTTAAACTTTGGAAACTTAAGGAGATAGGAGAAAATAAGGTCAGGAACAAATAAAAAGCCAGAAAGATGGGAGTAAATCCAGAACAAGATGAAAGTTAATTAAGGTAAAAAATGTTGTTTTTCTCTCCCAGCTTCCATCTGGCCTGTGGGGCTGAGTGAACTGTACAAATCCAATCTCCTGCCAGAGGAGAACCACTCCAGCGTGGCCTCCATGAATTCCTGCCAGAGTTTTTATATGAATCCTTTCAGTAGTGGAGGTATATGTAATGTTCCACAGGAAGTAGTTAGTGTTTATTAGGAAAAGTATCTACATTTATGAGCTAAAGCCTTACACTTGGACTCTAACCAGGTAGGACAGTGATTTGTGGTGGCTATAAAATTGCTCTAGCCAACTTTGGTATGTAAAATGACCATGATCTCAGGTTATTGTGAACTTTTTATTCCTAATGAATACCTCACCTTCACAGCATAGGAATTTTTTCAGATCTGTGTATTTGTATATTGTGCTTTAAGTAGACACACAAAAAGGACAATGAGAAGCCTTATGCTGATATTTAATAGCTTGTTTTTTCACATTGATAGCATGGCCAGTGTTTGAAGGAAACCAAGAATATCTGATCAGTCATAGGAACAGGGCAGTTTCATCAAGTTTGTGAAATGTTCTTTTATTAATAGAAGGGTCTGTCCTCTCAGACATATTGTCCTGAAATAAATAAAATTTCAGCATCATTGAAAGCACACAGACACACAGTTTTACAGGGTACAATACAAAGTTAATTTTGATGCTCTTATTTGCATTTGCTAAAAATCTGAGGATGACTGTAATCAATCTTTAAATAATCATCTTGCAGAAAGAGAAAGTCAAGCACAATCATTTCATAGGAGGTGTGGAGTGACAATTTTGAGAGATTTTGCATTAAAAGATTTCAAGATCTATCACAAATCAAATCACACTCTGTCACGTTACAACATGGAATTGAACTTAATCAAAAACAACAGTAAAGCAGCTGACACAGGCTGTATACTTTCTTTCCCAAAATTCGACTAATTTCTATTTTTGGCATGAGTTGGTAACCTTTTCCATCAACAGGAAAATGTGCTCTGCAAACTCTCGGAGAGCACCACGGCCACCATTAGATTTGCAAATATAACCGACGGCCTTCTGGGCAGTAGAGCAGGCATCAGCAGGCACTCCACTGACGCCTACTTTCTTGAGGCACTCCTCATCAGATACTTCATTGCCTACAAGAAAGAGAAGCACAGGTCAGTATAGAGAGAAACAAAGAATATTTTTTCAAAATAATGTAATGGCAGCTAGTCAGCCATTCTGATAACTTTAGTCGGGCCTAAAGCACTGCATATAAGAGTAGCAAAGGCTAGGTGGAACAAAATGACATAAAATTCAAAAGGATAACTAAGGTATAGGGTTTCCCCTAAGCAACTGAAAAATAAACTCTGAAGGCTTTGGAGAATGGGGTATACTTTGTACTTGCTAGACATAATACAATAACTAGAAATTCTATATATAGATTGTGAATTGAGATTAAATTAAAAAAATTCCAAACACATGTATTCCAAGTTCACATGGAATAATTATCAAAGTTTTGGATTTTTCATCAAAATTTTCTCTATTCCCTAGGGCTTAGTTTTCTAGAGGAGAGGGTGAGGGGCGCCCAGATATTATATTTTACCCTGAAAACTCTTCAGAACCTGCAGATGTTTATTTTTTTTAAAAGTGACATAGTAGCACTAAATAAACAAAATTAACAGTACTTCTTTATTGTTCATATATCTTTTATATTGTTCATATATTGTTTATATGTTCATGTATCTTGAATTCTCTCAAAGTTGTTCTTTTACAGCTGATCTATTAGAGCCAGAAGTCAAACAAGGTCTATATATTGCATTTTGCTGACATACATTTTAAGTACTTTTAATCTGTAATAGATTTGATTGTGCACCACTTAGTTGAAAAATTACCATCACATGGACAAAACCAGAAATCCTTTCTCTCCCTGCCTGTCCATTCTTTTTTCTGATAGGATGAATTTCATAAGCTCTCGTACCTTAAATTTAGTTTCACCACTTAGAATAAGAATGTAATTATTTCTATATTGTTGATGAAATACTAGTACTAATATGCTGATTCAAAAAATTAAATTTCTTCTACATTTACCCACTTCAATTTTTTTCTTTCATTATTAAATGCATTGAAATTTGGGTTATTTTCCTCAAAGATGATAAAAATTAAAGTCAATGTTTCTCTACACATCCACCCTTCAAACTCAGTTTCATTTACTAAATTTTACTTATGGAAGTGGTGATTTTTAAAAAATGTTTACTTTTTTACATACAAGAACTGGATTATAGACCAGAGGTGCAGGGGGTGGTGACAGGATTCACCAGAGACAGAGTGGGGAACAGAACAGGCAGATGTACTGAAATACACTGCTGAGGGGGGCAGCTGGTGGGTCAGGAGAGGGCTGCCATGCCATATGGGTGGGCTCTCTGGCCCTTTGGGGATTGAACTTGTGACGTTAGCTTGATGCTATGTCTTTAAGCCCTGCACCACCAAGGAGGCCCCCAAAATGGTGATATTTTTAAAGAATATATTTTATATTGTTTATGACCCATATAAAATACTGCTCTGATTTTTAAAAATCAGAAAGTCTATTAGAAGTCTATTCTCTACTTAGATTTTTAACTACTGCTTTTTAGTTTTGTTTTTCTGTTACATAAGTAATGCATATTCTTGGTAGAAACTTTTTTTAATAAACATAGGCAGAAAAAATAAAATGATCCGAATTATCACTTGTTACGGAGGATACAGCATTTGTCTGATTTTAGAGTTCCACTGTGTAAGTGACAGAAATGATCATTACTATATACATACACCACTGTAAACATTTTGTATTGTCTTTTGCTTTTCTTTCAAATGCTTTATAAGGTTTGATTTGTGTTTATTTAATAAATAGGAAAACAAAGACATGGACAAAGTTGCTAAGATAACACAGATAATATGTACAGCTGGGATTTATTATGATCCATGAAAATTTATTTTCTTCTTAAAAAAAACTAGATCGGCCCTCCCTGGTGGCGCAGCGGGTTAAAGCACTGCACTGAGAAGCTAAAGCCGCTTCCGCATGAGTTCGATTCCCGCCTGCCCCGGAGGTGACCACATGGTGTGGCAGACCTCTCCTGACCCGCCCGCTGCTCCCCTCAGCAGTGTACTTCGTCGATCTGCCTGTTCTGCTCCCCACTCTGTCTCTGGTGAAGCCTTTCACCGCCCCGAGCCTCTGGCCTGTACCCCAGTTCTGTATGCATAAATAAATAAATCTTTAAAAAAAAAAAACAAAAAAACAAAAAACTAGATCATTTTCTATCAAAGATTCTGCAGTATTTTCTCCATTCAACCTTCACATGTCATTCAAAAGCTATTCCTGAAGTCCCTGGATCATATGCTGCCAAATTATTTTTGTGCTCTGCTTCTAGAGGCCACAGTGCCCTGCATGTATGTCATATTGGTCTCCCAATATTATGTATTTTATTAATTTGTCTTATTAACAATGAAGATATTGACAGCATTAGACAATACGCTCAGCAGCCAGGTCTAAGCTTGCACAGAGTAAATATACTTGCACTCGGTAAATATACTCGCCAGTGGTAAAGAGAGAAATGTGTGACATCTGACCATGTACATTTACTTAATAAAGATAGACTGACAAAATCATGTATGCAAATATATATCAAAAGATATACAGTGCTTTTAGGGACAAAGTGCATGGATCTTGAGGAGATATGCTAAGTGAAGTCAGATAATGAAAGACAAATACCAGATGGTTTCACTCACTTGTGGAATATAAATAAGTAAAGAAAACAAACTGGTAAAATACAACAAAATAAGTTAGGTTCTGTGAAAAATATAATGGTTACCAGAGAGAAGGCAAGAGGGGAAGTGATGGAAAGGGTATGGACAGACATGGAGCTTTGGTGGAGGGAAAGAGCCAGGTGTGCCCATGTTGATGTGTGAAATTGTACTCCCAAAATTATAGAGCTAGATAAATGATTGACAAATCAATGAAATTTGATTTTAAAATATAGAGTATAGCATTGTTTTAAATAGTTGCACGGTATTCCATTTTTGGAATAGATATCCTATCCTAAAATAGATACCCTATTTTTGTAGGGTATTTAGATGTGTTCTTTTTCCTCCATTAGTGACACATTCGTTCAATTTCCTTCTTGGAATGGGAATTTGAGGATCAAAATGATTTATATTTTAATAATGGAAAAAATATTCCCAAAGTAAACTTCCAGTACATTAGCAATGTACTATTGTTAGATTATTTTATTAATTTCGATAATAGATCTATTATACATACTGGTATGTTTGACACTGGTATAGAAGACCCATGACATCCAGTTTACAGGTGAAGAAACCAAGGATTATTTTACCAAAGCTCGTAGGTCATTGGTTGGGCCTGAGTCTGTGGCAGGTACAGTAGGCATTCTACTGGATTACTCTAGACATATGCTATTAAGCTCACCTCCAGGAGACCTCCCTAATTTAATAGTTTGTTAGTGCGAGAACGTTTCTGCATCTCTACTGTCATAGCAGTCTTGGAAATATTCTTTCTTATTTCTCTATTTCTTATCAAAATAAAGAAATTCTTGTCTATTTCATTATGTCTGAACAAAAAAGATACCAACCAAGATATGCCACTTCTTTCCAGCACAGGCCCATTTCTTTTCTCCATTCATCTACAATTGCTAGCTTGTCCGGTACATTGACTTCCATTTTGCAGTCCAGTTTTAAGGAAGAGAGTGTCTGCTTTGAACAGGCCCTTTCGGAGATTAACCTCACCTTTAAAAAAAAAAAAAAGGCGAAATGAGAATATAAAGGGAGTAGAAAACTTTCAGCATAAAGTAATACCTTGTAAATAATTTGACCTTCTATAAGATGAATTAAGTAAAAATCAATTAACTGTCATTTTAAAATGATTACACTTAAAAGATTTTATTTTTAGTAGCCTCATGAAGGTGAAAGATACTTTTCTATAAGGGAAAGGAATCCATCTACAGGTTAAAAAATGTAACATACTGCTACTAATAAAAGATTCTTTGGTAATTTATTTTATCAAGAGGGAAGTAATACTAATTTATTGTCTTGTGCTGCTTAGGGACACTGATTTATTGTCTCTAGAGATTTATAAAAAAAAATCTAAGTAATTTTTGAAAATAAACTTGAACTTTGTGATTCTGAATAAAAATTTTGATTTAAAGAATGAACTACACTTTAAAAATTCATACGATATTTGCTTTTTTTCCTAAACGCTGAGACACCCACATTTTATGAATTCTTTCTTGTTGCAAGATCCTATGTGAATATTTAAGAATAATGGCTATACCTATCAAATAAGCATGAAATAGTTCAAAAACATAAAAAATATTTCCTAATTCTACTCCGTTAAAAGAAAATGACAATTTTCTTGGCATGGAGGGTTAAATTTTAACAGTTTTAATAGACAGTACTAAAAACATACTCTTTATTTACTTCCCATATTCTTTAACCCAGAGTCATAATCTTAAAAAAGAAAAAAAAAAGCAACACTATTATATTCAGGGGTACATACCTCAACACCACTTTTCTTTAATAAACTTATCCCAATAGCATCTTTTACATCATAAGATATTATTTCTTTTTGGTCTCCTGAGACATAAATGTGACCATTGGTGAGGCATCCATCAATACTGCAAACCAGAAGTTTTATCTCCTTAAACTTCTCTTTGCCAAAATAGCCATATCTAAAAGGAATTAAAATAGACCTCTGAGTAGAAGTATAATACTAATCATACCCTCTCATCTGGCTAACACCAGTAAACATAATAACCTGTCCCATTCAATTATTTAAACATCACTCTTCCAATTTACTTCAAACATACATACATGTCAACTCATGGTGTGAAAGCTGTAAGAGGCTGTTAGACTCTGTTTCTCGAGTTACTGAATAAACCATGCACAGGTATATTTTATGTATATGTCTTCTTCTCATACGTTAACTTATTACAAAGAGAAGATGTTTGAAGTATGAGAAATCAGTGTAAGTATCGGGTTGTTGGAAAAGTCATGACTTATTTTTCCTATGTTTTCACTGCAAAGATGCATAATGACTTTTCCAACAACACAACACACTTACATGTATTGATTGAAAATGTGTTAGGATCTAGTACAAAGGCTACATAAATCTTACTTTTCTCTGTGTGGAGGACCTGCAAACATGGAGCTATTGCAAAAGTGTAAAAATGGAGTTACTATATAATCCAGCAATTCCACTCCAGGAATCTACCCTAAGGACACAAAAACATAAATTCGAAAGGAAGTCTGTACTCTTATATTTATTGAAGCACAATTTACAATAGTTAAGATATGGAAACAACCTAATTGCCCCAAAATAGATGACTGGATGAAGAAGATGTGATATATATCTACATGGAATACTACTCAGCAATCAAAAGATAAACTTATAACATTTGCAGCAACATGGATAAAGCTGGAAAGGATAATGTTCATTGAAATAAGAAGGAAAAGAAAAATGTCAAGTGATTTCACTTACAGGAGGAATACAGAGAAACTCAACAAGGGATCAGGGAAAAAGACAAACTGTAATTGGAGCCATTCAGTAGGAAAGGAGGACGGAAAGGGATCAAAACAGGGAAAGGAGGAGCACAACAGACTATGGTGATGGTTCACAGGTGTCTTGGTGTTAGGAATTTTATGGGATTACACCTGAAATGAGAAATCAAATGTACAGAAATGAAAAATGATGTGTGTGTGTCTGTATGATACATATATATACATATGGTACATATATATGGCATATATATATGATATATATAATATCATACATATACACACATATATATCATATGTCATATATATAAACACAAGTCTTGCTTCTACCTTAATACTCTCTGTTCGGCGATAGGCCAGTCAATGTCCACATCTATATCCACACTGTGCTCAGCTCGCATTTCGTAGTATGCCATTTTTCCACCCTAGAGATAGTACAGATGCATTAATTCACACATTTCAAAAAGTTTATCATGATAGATGACAATGAATTCATTTCTAACCTACTAAGAAAAGTGGATAGCCCAGTAAAATTAGTAACATCAACACATGATTTGTTAAAGAGGGAAAGTTTTTTGCTTGCCATATATTCACACCACTAAATTACCCTTAAGAGTTTCAGATTCTGTCAATTCAATGTAAAGTTTTCTTTAAGTAGATTTCAATTTTAAGATTGAAAAATGCAGCTATAATACATCCTCCAGGATTCTGACCACAAGTAATTTTCTGGAAACCCCCTAACTCCCCCCTGTTTTCATGCAGTCTCTCTCCCATCATTATCCAAAAGTTGTGTAAAGATTGGAATTTCTCTTGCAATTTGCAACTAATCAAGGCAAGATAGGAGAGGAAAAGTAGCTATAAAATATCTACTGCACAGACTGTCTCAGACCCTTCTGCTACAGGTGGGATGGAATAGTATTGTGTGGCTCACAGGGGGACAAAGGTATGGTCTGTGTCATCATCTTGGGGCCTGGGGCAATAAGAGAGGCCGTTCTGTGGTTATGATCATTTGAATGTCAAGATCAACTAATGGATACTTTCCTTTTTCAGACTTATCAGTGTCCATAAATCTTGTTAGAAGAAACTTCACCTTTTCTCCAAACTTGAGAACAAGGTCAGATCTAGTCTCCCTTAGCAAAGATCTTGGGGAGGGTGATGCCTATACATGTCAAACCTAATTTTCCTGAATATTCAAACTTGAGTAAGCAACTAGTCTACTTTGTCTACATAATGAGTAGGGGCTGGGGGAAAAAAATGCTTTTTCTCCAGACTATGAGTTGCTTTAAAATTTTGAAGTGGAATTCTGAGTCTTTTTTAATGCTATTTTTCAGTAATATAAGGACCTGAATCAAATTTTGATGGTATTATCTATTTCCCTTTCAAATCTTGAGGCATTTTCAGATTTACCATTTCCTCCCCTCTAAAGCTGGGCTGGGAAGAGCAATTTTGTTGTGTCACTACTGTGACCTATTAGATCATCTATTCATAGTGTCTCGGGCAGTATATGCACCCAGTATACACCCAGTGCTGAATAAATAACAGCTCTAACTAAAAAGCCCAAATAGTACATGATGCCATAACCATGTCATCTCTAAAGATGAGAGAACCTCAAATTCCCTTACTTTAAATGAGAACCATGAAATTCAGGACAGATAAAATGATATAGTCAACATTACCTGGTTATAGATAGAGAAGCATAATCCTGGTTTCCTAATTCCCAAGTTGGTGCTGTCTCACCTCTACTGTACTGTTTTTTTGTCTCTTTTTAAAGCAGTAGAAATTATTCAACTGTACAACCACAACCTGACAGTAACACAACCATGGGTTAAAAACAGTTTTGAATGGAACAATATGAATACCAGGACACACGTAGAACACTCAATACTTGATTCATTTCTTAAAGTTACAATTGTGGATCATCTTGCAAATTTACTAAATGAATTCCAACTATCAGTCTGGGGTGTACTGCACCATAAATGCCACAGATGAGAAGCCTGGTCAGTTACTGCCTTTCCTCTAGGGGTTGTCCTGCCCTCCATGAACTGTGCCAGCCTGACTCCTCTCTAGAAATCAGAATGTGCATACAAAAGGATTTAGAAGTTTTTTGCAAAATGAAGGCACAAACCTGTAAGTAACCCATCTCTATCAAATGTCTTTTAGCAAAATAAAATGAGCCATTTTCATATAATTCTCCATCCCAGTCTTGTCGACGAGGTCGTTTAGCTGGATTCAAATTCAGAGGCTCAGTCACTTCACGAACTAAAAGCAAAAAGCTATAGTAAGTCCCCTTTGCTTTGAATACTGAAAGTATTCATTTAGTACTTGTTTAAAAAGCAAATAAAAGTTAACTCAGACATAGACTATTTTATGTCTCTAAATAATCAAAAGGGATTTCTTAAAGGAGTAAAATCCCTAATATTTTTATGACTTCTCTTTGCTGATTATAATAAAAGTAATACTAATAAAAGAAAAAGTATTTTTAGAAGAATTCTGAGTAATTAAGCTTTTAAGTATTTATTGGAATATAATAGTTTGGGAGGATATCAGAACAACCTTAAAGTAGCTTCAGAGGAACTGAACTTGTCTAAACTACCCATATTCAACACTGAGTCCTTTAATTCTCACTGTTTGCTTCTGTGGAAATACAACATATGCTTTATCTATCTAATGTTACTGAGAAATTACTTCAAGGGATTATAAAAAACTGTAGATTTCCTCATTAAATTATTGAAGCTTTTATACTGATAAAAATGTTTATATTATGTATTATATGCCTGCTGTGTATATATACATAAAATATCAATAAACTGCTTATTAAAGCATATATAGTGTTTATATATAAGCATTTAAGATGCTTATTAAAGAACATATATATAAGACTATATTGCTTATTAAAGCAATAATAAACTGCTTATTAAAGCACAATCAATCATAAACTGCTTATTTATATCAATAATAAACTGCTTATTTAGTTACTGTTATCACTGGTATGAAAGCTCAGTGACAATGAAATGAACGACTATAACATGATGCAACAAAGAATCTCTCAATATTTATATATAAGGATTCCCTTGCCTTTTCACTGTTTTTTCTCCAATTTGTGCTGGTGAATGTGCATGGGTCTGCATGCTCCCTAGCTGGTGATCTTTCAGCAGCTTTCTTCCCTTTGGCTGTCAATGCTATGTGTAAAGCTTTTTAGGAATGATTTTTGCTTGCATCCCTAATTAAATATTCCCTAACCACTCAACTCCATTGCAGTGTTTGGTGTGATTAGGAAAAACAGTCTGCAGGTATAATAGAATGTATCATGGTTTTACACTCATTGGAAACACAGTCTATCTGACTCTGTTCTCCTGAATTGTGTAATCTAGTGGTGGAGAAAGGCAAAGAACAAACTACATAATTCAACTGGTACTTTGAAGAAAAGGAAAGAGGGAAAAGTGCTTCCTAGGTGAGTGATGACCAATGACTGCTTTCTTCCTGGGAATGTCTGAGGAGTCTGAGAAGGAGATGAGAGAAAAGTCAGGCTCAGGTCAGCAGAGAGACTCTGCTAGGATAAGGAAAAATCAAGAGTTTTTTTAATGATCCTATGGACTGGAGTCACAGCCTCTCATCTGCAGAAGCATACCCATGGAGTGAGCTCTTCTTATTGAATCACCGCTCAGAACTTCTGCTGAGCGCACTGTGGCACACAGGAAGCTGGGGTAGGCTGGAAGGCAGAGAGGCACAGTGCAGTTCTGGGGCCCGTGGCTCTCCAAGTCCTGTCAGTAGAGGGGTGTCAACAATTTCTGACAAGACACCTTCATGAAGAGGCAAACTAAAGTTAAATTTAGCCCAGCTCTGAACTGGCCCAGAGTGATTCCTTATCCTGTCTGTCTGCTAGAAGAAAGGGCATACTCTCTCTAGAGAGAAAGTGCTATCTCCTCCAGCTCCAGGCCAGGCACAGGATAAAACAGAAAGCATATGAGGAAGCTGACCAATAGAGAAAAGTCACAGAAACAACTACTGACTCCCCAGTTGCTGGAACTTGCCATCAAGGATTTAAATAGAACTATTCTAAGTATGTGAGAGAAATTGGAGAAAAGATGAAAAACACAATAGATTGAAAAGATTGAGAATTTCAACCAAGCGAAACCTCTTAAAAAAAAAAAAAGATCTAAAGTTTACTTATTCTAGAGTAGAAAAATACAGTGAAATAATTCACTTATTTACACTGTCTGGGCTGTAAATAAGTAACGATCAATAAATTTAAATAGAAATTACTCAAAGTGAAATACAAGGCGAAAAATAGACAAACAGTACAGAACAGACTGTGAAAGACATATAGACAGCATACAACTGTTTAATATCCAGTTAAATTTGAATAATGAGTTAGAAAGGAGAAAGGAGAAAAAATATGGTAGAAGATTTAGTTGAAGAGACTTTGTGAAAAAATGGTGGTAAGTATCAATCTAAAATTTGAGACAAGTTTAGAGAATTCCAAATAGGATAAACACAAGACAACCACAGCAATAAAATTCAGAGATAAACTGTGGAAAACTAAAGATAAAATTTCCTGAGAGAAAAAAAGACAGGTTCAGAGAAATAACTGCCTGCCAATGAAGAACAGCAGATAATGCAATGGCACACTGAAAATGTATCTTCAAAGGAATTACATTTTTAAAATGCATTCTTAGGCTGAAAAAGGGAAAAGCCCAACTCAAATGTAATATTCAACATCAGTGAAAATACCCTTTACAAATAAAGCCAAATTAGAAATATTTTCAGATAAGTGAGATTGTTAGGAACAGACACAAAACACATGTAGTGAGGAATGAAGAATTACAAAGACTAAATATACAGGTGAAAAGAAATGACTGTTTAAAATTTTTTTTAATATTATTAAAATTAATATTACAAAATGTATTGTGGGGTTATAAGTAGAAATCGATATGTAACAATAATTGTACAAATGATAAAGAATTGATAGAACTTTACTATTGCAAGATTAATTATTAATTATTTGTAAAGTTGTAAAATATTAATTTAAGGCAGGCTAGAACAAGTTAAGGTATGTATGTATAATCTCTAGAGTCTTGTCCAGTATAAATATAGTGTAAGTGCCATATGTAACTCAAAAATTTTCTAGGTCCTCCCTGATGGCACTGATGAGCAGGTGGAGCACCACAGTAGGTTCCATCCCAGCAATGGAGGTGACCCACATGGTGTGGCAGACCTCTCCTGACCTGCCTTATGCTCCCCTCAGTAGTATATTTCATTGATATGCCTGTTCTGCTCCCCACTCTGTCTCTGGTGAATCCTCTCACTGCCCCTGCACCTCTGACCTATATCCCAGTTCTGTACGCATAAATAAATAAAATCTTTTAAAAAATATTTTTTTTTCTAGAAGGTACAGTGGTCAAAAAAAGTAAAAAAAAAAAAAACCCAAGTGAAATTAATTTTTAATAATACATTTTATTTAGGCCAGTATACCTAACATATTTCAACATATAATGCAAAATTGAGATACTGTACATACTTCATACTAAATATTAAAAATTTAGTACATATTTTGGACTAGCTATATTTTAAATACTTACAGGGCTAGTGGTTACTATACTAGACAGTATAGTTCAACATAATGAGTGATAAAAGAATACAAAGTTATGGAAAATAAAATGGAATGATTTTAAAGTACTGATTAATGCACTAGCAATAATGATTTTATAAACAAGGAACATAAAAATAAAGTCATTAAGATATACAACTCTGCTCTAGAATCATTACGAGTAGCACTTTTTCATAGTGGTTCTAAGAGAATATATCTGATGAAAAGACAAAGCCACTATCCCTAACATTCAGTCTTAATATTAAAGACATTTATTCAAACTTTCCTAATTTTCTTAAAAAGCCACTATGGATCTGTTATTTATGAATCTGTCATCTTTCGAAGTAATCTCTTGATCCTCTTTAACTTTAATAGATGTTCAGTTTAATATTGGGCTTCTTTGATTTTCATCCTAAATCTTACTTCCTGGATTGGTTAAAAATTTATATTTATAATTTAACACAGAACCTAGCAGAAAAAAGATACTAGCTTTTTTTTACATGAGATCATTAAATAAATGCATTCATTGATATCTTTTCTTGGTTTTGATAACATTCACCTTTTGAGGTTGAAAAATAATTTTCTTTAGTAGTTTCTATCCTCTTAATTGCACTTTTTTTTATACCTTCTTCAGTTTCATGGCATTTTCCTTCCCTCCCCCACCCCATACTTCTATCTTTTAAGTCACATATAAGTTAGAAATAGGCCAACTTTTCTATATTTAGCAAATGTCTGGGCACTCAGAGAAACCATAACACCTGTCCTTAAGTGAATCACATTTACCTGTTGGTGATTCTATTCTTGATGACATATTTGGCTAGTTTTATCTGTCTAGAAATCAGGCTCCTAGCATTCTTACATAATGTAAAAGAGTTACTTATTTTGGAAAGTAATTCCACAATTCATCTTGAGATCCTCAAGAACTTTTGGGTGGAAAGTTTCTATTCCCATGGTACTACTATATGATTTATATGGAATCAAACAAGATTAGAACAAACATGAAAAATGTTTGATCTGAAAAAATAAATGACATTTCTGTCTCAAAAGACATCATAGAGCATTACTTTGTAAAAAGTACAGCAAAGGATCAATTTAGTTTCACTGTATTTATTGCCTCAATAATCACAAGATTTAGACCTGATAATAAATGTTATTACCTTGTTCTCTTTTACTGCCTTCAGTTCTAAAGAATATTTACATATGAAAAAACTTACTCTCTGCAAAATTAGTTAAAATAAAGACTGATATCAGATTACCTCCTTTCTGAATTTCACTCCACCGAAATTGATGGCGTCTCACAACGGAGAAAACAGAATCATATCCTTCTTCTCGAATCATTTCTGCAACTTTCTGAAGGTCAGAAGGATGTAAACATGGAGAAGTTGCTTGAATATTTCCTACAATGTCAACCTCTTAAAAAGAACAAATGAAAAGGACATCAAACCAAAGTTCTTTGTAAGCAAGTGATACTAAAATCTTGCATTCACATGTTCAAACAAAGTCTTGTAATAAGCAAACTAGAAATTTTAAATAAATTATTAAACCCATACCATTGTGATAATTAAGAAATTCTATGATGGCATCTAATGAGGTAGAGCTGTCTTTTGAAACTTCTGAGCTTCGTCGATGAACTTGTGCACCAAATTGTTTGGCCACGTTTTCAATTTCATCATGGTCTGTTGAAACCCACACGCTGTACAGATATTAAAAAAATAGATAAAAAGCCAAATCACAAAGAAATCATTAAAGATTTGTAAAGGGCCCTGCAAGCCTATACCACTAACATTATTTAGAATAATTTCTGTACCACAAAAATAATGTTACAGAACCAAGGTAATGTAAAATTTTAAGAATTCTGAATAATTTTGCATGTATATTTTCTAATGTCTGAATCAAAAATGTAATCCTTGATATTCTTATATTTACATATGTTTATATCATTTTCACTTGTACAAATATTATGGAGCTCTAAGTACTTTTTTTAAAAAGATTTATTTACTTATGCATACAGAACTGGGGTGCAGGCCAGAGATGCAGGGGCAGTGAGAGGATTCACCAGAGTCAGAGTGGGGAGCAGAACAGGCAGACTGAGGAAGTACATTGCTGAGAGGAGCAAAGGGTGAGACAAGAGAGGTCTGCTGCACCTTGTGGATCACTTCCAGCAGGGATCAAACTTGCACTGAAGTGACTACAACTAGCTTGCAGTGCTGAGCTTTAACCCCCTGCATCACCAGGGAGGGTCCATGAGCTCTAGATACTTTTATGAGCTTGGAAAAAATGATACTTGGTATTTTTAAGACTAATGGTATATATTTCAGCAAAACAATAGAACTAGAAGTTCATAATCTAAAGGAAATAAAGCAGATCCTGCTGTTTTATTCCTTATCGATACCCAAAATGTTGTATAAAGTATTTTAATAAACTTACTAAGAACAGACAGCTTAGCCAAACCCCTGAAGTGTAAGAATTTCAAATATAATGTGACAAAAAGCTAAATGCCTAAATCTATACTCAAGATAATCAGAAAATTCAGCTCCTTCCTCCCTACCCGCCCCCATTTATATTTGAACATAGAATCAACTGGGTTACACCCATTGTTAACAATTACAGACATGGAGAACATGACTAACTGCCTCAGAAGAATATACCTTAACAGATCTATTAACTGCAGCTTTCACAGTTCACCATTTAGACTTTTATAAAATGATTAAGATTGAAATGTAATTTGAAGGAAGTATAGCAATTTCTACTGAACTTAAGTTTCCTGGACAACTGGACAGTCACATACAAAATGACAAAAGTAGACTATCATACCACACACACAAAGAACTCAAAAAGACAACTTGGGTCAAACTTTAAAATAAATAGAAGAAAACTGGCAAAATACTCCATGACACTCACTTCAGTGATATCTTTAAAGGATTTGATTCCCCCAACAAGAGAAACAAAAGCAAAAATAAAATAAATTGGATTATATCAAACAAAAAAGCTTCTGCACAGAGAAAGAAGCTGTCAGTAAAATGAAGAGACATACTACTAGTGGGAGAAAATACCAATGGGGCTAATATCTAAAATGTGCAATAAACTTATACAACTCAACAAAAAGAAAACACCACTATCAAAAAATGGACTAAACAGACATTTCTCAAGAAAGACATACAAATGGCCAAAAGGCTCGTGAAAAAAATGCTTATCATCACTTTAACATGAAAGAAATGCAAATCATGCCCACAATAGAATACCACCTTGCACCTTGAGAATGGCCCCTATCAAAAAGGCTTGAGAGACAAGTGTTGATAAAGATGTGGAGAACAAGCAACCCTTATACACCATTGGTGGGACTGTAGACTGGCCCAGCTCCTATGGAAAATAGTATGGAAGTTTCTCAAAATATCACACAAATCTACCATATGATCCAGCAATTCCAGTCCTAGGATTCTACCCAAACAATGCAAAACCACTAATTTGAAGATCTCCTGTGTTCATTCCAGTACTATTAATAATATCCAACTTATAGAAACAAGATGAATTGTTAAGATGTATGTATACACACAAACATACACAATGGAATGCTACTCGGCTATTAAAAAGATGAAATCCTGCCATTTGCTACAAACATGAATGTAAGTGAAGGTGTTTATGCTAAGTGAAATAAGTCAGGAGAAAGACAAAATACTGGATGGTTTTACTCAACAAAGATACAGTCAAAACTAAACCAAAACAAACTTTAGAAATCTGACTGTAGAAATGAGGTTCCCAGAAGGAGAATACAAGAGACCTGTTTTGCTCCATATTAAAGTCTGAAATAATTTTGTGACAGATCTTTCACTACAGAAATAACACAAAGGTAGCAAGGTGAAGTACTAATGAAAATCTAGTGAATTTTTAAAATAGGGGTATTAATACATAGTAAAAAGTGAACAGTAAAAGCAAAACGAATGGGCCTTTTGACATCTAACTTTATAACGAAGCCAACTACCTTACTCTCCTTATCATTAGAATGTCAGCACAAAATGAATTAGACTAAAAGACTAAGTTACTGGTTCAGAGAAGAGGGAGAGAGGGTTGGAAAAATCAGATGAAATGGGTCAACTATTTGGTGAAGGATAGAATTGAACTTTTAGTGGTGAACTTAAGCACACTATACATACACATGTTGATTTATAATAAGGCATACCTAAAACATAATGTAGCAGTCCAACTTTATTATAATGCGAAATTTTAAAAATAGGTATTTTGCAAGCGATTTTTCTGCTTTCTTTCCTTTTATTATTCATCATGAAATATTAACTGAATTCCTGTTTTGTTTCAGACATGCCACTGAACACTGGAGATATATTTTGCATTTTCATGAGAAATTCAGGCTATCTCATACATGGTACTTGCCAAAGGTACTTGCCAAATGGCACTGTAATTCTCCTTAAACCTATCAGGGAGAGAAGTAAGGAATCAGTAACTTGTCTATAATGGCTTACTTTTTACAAATTATTTTTATGGCACCTGGTAACTATATAACAGGTGCTCAATATATATTCGTTGAGTGAAAGAAACAATAATATTTAAAAGCATGGATAAGCTCTGAAGGAAGGGGCTCAAATCCGGCTTCCTCATATGATGAGAAACCCATCATCTCCTTAGCCCTCAATTTTCAGTAAAATGGGATAATACTAATTATCTCATGTGGTTGTCAGGAGAATTAAATATAAAACACAATACAGAATAAACATTTAATCGAAGTATTCAAGATAACAGGAATGGTAATAAAGAAATATCACTTCATCCTCACACTGAATCTGTTGGAAGAACAGATCTTCAGTGGTCCAAATCTCTAATATGATGTAGGGCAAAGGCACTGTGGATGGGAAAGCAACAGGTACACTTAAAATACAACATCATCTATTAAAGAAATTAAGTAAGGAAATGATTTTTCTCTGACTTTGGGGCTTTGGTTGCAGAAGGGGAAAGAGAAAGAAGGAGCAAGTGAGCGAACAGGTCTATAAAATTTTAAATCAAGTACAAAGCAAATGTCAAAGTCTAATGTTAGTGACTTTAACCTCTAATGAAGTCACACTACATCCAACAGGACAAAAGAGAATATTAATCATAGTACGTGCCTACGTCAGCTGTAATCACCATTTTAAGGGTAAAAGCACAGTATAGGCCCTTCATAAATAATACCTCACACCCCAGAAATACTGCTAAAACTTAGGTTTATTCTCTGTAAGTAAATAACATGACATTCAAGTCAGTGCACTCTTAAGTTTACTTACATAGCACTGAACCTCTGTTGAAAATCAAGCTTTTACAAACTCACAAACTCATCTCTAACTATAACTTGTTGACTAGACTTAAGTCTGGAAGAATGTGAGCAACACTGTCAAGGATAAACAAAGTTGGAGACTAGTTAGGAGTAAACCGAACAGGTTTTATCTGTTAACTAATGCGAGTTTGGCATGAACTGAACTCAGGTCCTCCAGAGATAAAATGCTGGATGTACTAAGGGAAAGGCATTTGAGGAGAGTTAAGGGGAGTTAGTCTACAGGGCTAGGTCGTCTAGGTTTATTGACTGGTGCTTATGCAAGAGGGAAAACAAACTTCCATCATTGTGATGGGAGGCAAGGTGCAAGCTGAAGCAAGTGCTCCATGGAACTTAGCCTCTTATCCTTCAACAGGGCCTGGGAAGAGACTGGATTAGCTCCAGAATTTTTTCAATTTAAGGAAATGACTCCCAGGTCCTTGAAAAAAACAGTTTTGGCCGACAGAGAAGGGATTTACAGTTGCAGCTTTCTAAAGTAACTTTTCTAAAAGAGGTTCAGGGGCTGGCTGTCTACCAGAATGAAGTAAATTCTCCTGGCACCATGGAGCAAGCTTTCTCGAGCAGGCTTTCAGGGGTGCTTGGATCATGTGTGCATGACCACCATAAAGGAAGGGTTTATCTAGAAGAATCAAGAAACAGAATATTTTGGTAAAACAGTGCACCATTTCTGTACTTTATTTACCTGAAAAATATTACCACCGGATACAGTATAATTTGTTTGTATTTTGCCTGTCTCTTCCCATTATAATGCCTGCACCAGGGGACTAAGGGCCTGCCCTACTGCTCCTACTGTCATCTCCAGTAAAGGACACAGAACTGTGCCTGTCACAGAGTTGGTAGTCAAAAGTATTCCCTGGATGAGTGGAGCATATTTTGTCCTTGACTCTAGCTCTAACAAGACTTACCTTTTTGTTAAGACATTTTGAAAAGGACTTTCCCACAGCTACATCAAAAGAGCTACAGTGAATTTTTTGTCCTCATTCTACTGTGAATGGGATCTTGATCTCTAGTTTATTTCACAAAAATGGGATCTTTACCACATTATTGTTCCCTGCAAGGCCTTTCTCTCAGTCCTTCCCTTTGCCCCATTGTGTATATACCTTATGTACCTTTTGTAAGGTTAAAAGTGTCAAAATATCTGTGAGCTTCAAAAGGACATGAACAGGGTCACATTCATCGTGGTATTCCCTGGGATGTGTATTTGCAGAAATGAGGGCTCAGTAAATGTTTATGAATTTAATCATAAACCCTGAGTCTTTCCCTATCTCTCAACTGCACATTTCCTGTTTTATCAATGTTATGTTTTGGGGAACCAGTTTCAGTTTCCCTCATTCCACCAGAGCTTCCTTAAATTAATATTAAGAAAATGTGGAAATTTATACTTTTTGGTATCTTTTTTACCAAGATAGGTAAAATGGAAATCATTCACATACATATTTAATGGAGGTAATGAATAGGCTTCAAAGAAAGCTACATCTTAAAAAACCAAAACCCCAAAATCAAATTTTACTTTTAATTTACTTTCAAAGCAACACAAACATAACTGGCTTTAAGTTACTATGTGTACATTCATTCTTGGCACAGAATTCTATCTTCCTTCTTTTATGAATGACATCAGCTCGTAACTCCTGACCAAGATGGCATATGGCCGTGCCTCTAAACGCTGTACAATTAAAACTCTCTTTAAGGTGGAGGAGGTTCCAAAGGTATAATAAAACCATTTACAAACATACCATAAACAGCCAGCTGTACCCGTTCCCACTGTCTCTCACCTATGTACAAATGTAGGCAGCTTTCTACATTATGCTGACTCATGGGCAGATAGCTTAGAGTATTTTTCTAAGGTGGAGAAGCGATCTCGAAGGGGAGCATGAAATTAAGCCTTGACAGCCCATTCCATGGGTGAACCTGATGCCTTCCTAATGGAAGAGCACCAAGTGGTGATCACAGGCTGATCTGCTGGGGAACCTCAATGGCCTCTGTCTAAAGGTGTTCCCAAATTATCGCAGACGTTTCACAAGGGGTGGCCTCCTCTTTTACCCTGTCAACCCGCCCGGCAGAGTCGGTTGAGAAGAGGAAAAACTCCCCTTTTATGGGTGGCATTCTCAAGGGCAGGGGCAGGAACTGTCCCAGGTCAAGGCTACTAGCAACAGGGGAACAAGGAAGAGCCGAGCCCTTCCTCCCCCGGCTCTCTGCCTGGGCCCAGGCACCCCGATCCTGCACACCCCCGACCTCAGGGAGCGATGGTCCGGGAGCCCCAGTGCTTCCAGGCCAGACTCCCCTCCCGACCCCAGCCCAGGCCGCGCCGCCCACTCTCGCACATGCGCACCTCTGGAAGACCCCCGAGTCCAGGGCTGCACGCAGGACCCAGCCAATAAGCGGGACCCCCGCCAGGTGCTTAATGTTCTTCAGGGGGATGCCCTTGCTGCCGCCCCGGGCCAGGATCAGAGCCGCCAAATGCGGGGGCTTCTCCACCCCTCGGCCCTGGCCGCCGCGGGAGTTGCGCTGCAGCTTCGGTGGCCGGCCCCGCGACGGCCGTCCCCGCGGGTTGGAGACGGAGGTGGCGGCCCCCTTCTCCACGGGGTCCATCTTCCTCCCACGCCTTCTCCCCAGCTTCTCCACATCCGGGAGCTCTTCTCTCACCACCTCTGCTGGGCGCCGCCCGATCACCCCGACCGGGCGCGCGGGTGGCTGTTCTCGGCTCCGCCCCCTCCGGGCCCCGCCCCTTGATCACCCCGCCCCCGCGTGGGGCAGGCCGGGAGTTGTAGTTCGCCGCTGCCACGCTGGGTCTGGCTGGCGACCTGGGCTGTGCGTGGGAAGTCCCATATGACTTCCAGGCAGCGCTGCTTGCTCCTGGAGCGCGGATAGTGTCCAGAAAATGCCCGGCTTAAAAATTGTGTTGGATTTTCACTACTTGATGCTTCCTAACACAAATCAATTTTATGTTTTTGGATTCATATATTTTCATTTTTTATTAATTTTACATATTTACCATTTGTTTACAAGACTGCATCATGTCATGCCTTAATACGTATGTATGCTTCACCAAGTTCTAGTGCATTGACAACAATTATCGAATTGACTCCCTTCTAACCACTGAAACACCTCTGTTCCCCTCACTCTCTGGTAACCACCCTTCAGAGTCCAAGAATTGTTTTGTTTTGTGTGTGTGTGTTTTGTGAGTATTATATTTTATTTTTTAAAATATATCTATTACATCATCCTTCATTTTGTACAATGTATGGTTTCCCCATGAAATTCCCACCACCAATTCACCCCTGCACCATCACCATGGTCCCTTGTGCTCTTCCCATCCCTGTCCTGATCCTTCTCCCTCCTCCTTACAGAATGTCTCTGATCAGTCGTTGCCTGATGACTTTGATTTTACTTTATTATAGTTACTTTCATTTTCCTGATTCCTTATTTGGTTCCTCTACATACTTCCTATAAGTGAGACCATTCAATATTTTTCTTTTTCTTTCTGGCTTTTTCCATTGAGCATTATCCCTTCCACCTCCATCCATGTTGCTGCAGAGGACATGAGTTTATCCTTTCCAAAGAAGAAATGCAAATGGCCAACAGGCATATGAAAAAATGTTTTGTTGTGTTTTTATAATTTGTTTACTTTGGTTATTTATATTCCACATAAGAGAGGAACCATTTGGTAATTTTCTTTTACTTTCTGACTTACTAACATAATCACCTCAGGCTCTATCCATATTGTCACAAAAGGCAAGGTTTCATCTTTTTTAATAGCTGAGTAGTATTTCATGGCATATATATATATATATATATTATATATTTGTTTTGTTTCTTTGTATTCCATATATAAGTGAAACCATCTGGCATTTATCTTTCTCCTCCCTTATTTTGTTTAACACTACCTCCTCCAGTTCCATCCATGTTGTCGCAAATGACAAGAGTTCATCTCTCTTTCTCATTCTCTGTATAGATAGATAGATAGATATAGATAGATATAGATAGATATATACAGTTCTAATCCACTCCTCTGTTCTTTCAGCACTTTGAATATTTCCATAATTGGCTATTGTAAATAGTGCTGCAGTGAATGTAGAAATACAAATATTCTTTCTAATTAGTATTTTGGCATTAGTGTTTCTGGATCATGTGGTAGATCTATTTTTTTTTAAGATTTATTTACTTATGCATACAGAACTGGGGTATAGGCAGGGGTGGTGAGAGGACTCACCAGAGACAGTGGGGAGCAGAACAGGCAGATCAATGAAGCACACTGCTGAGGGAAGCAGCAGATCAAGAGAGGTCTGCTGCGCCATGTGGGATCACCTCCAGGGTGGGCAGGGATCGAACTCATGCTCAAGTGGCTTTAGCTTCTTAGTGCTGTGCTTTAACCTGCTGTGCCACCAGGGAGGGCCCAGTAGACCTATTTTTAATACTTTGTTAAACATACATACTGTTTTTCATGAGGGCTGAACCAGTTTACATTCCCACCAATAGTGAGCAAGTGTTCTTTGACTGGGCATCCTTGTCAACACTTATTGTCTTTGGGCTTTTTGATGTGGGCCATTCTCAAGCTGCGAGGTGGTATCTTCTTGTTGATTTGATGTGTATGTCCTTCATAAGACTTTTCTCATGTGCCTGTTAGCTACCTGTATGTATTTTTTGGAAAAGTGCCTATTTAGCTCTTGGGCTTATTTTTTTATTGGATTTTCTTTTTGTTGAGTCATATGAGTTCTTTGTAGATATCAGCCCTTTGTCTGATGTACTGTGCAAAAATATGCTTTTTTTTTTTTACTGATAATTTCTCCATGCAGTAACTTTATAGCTTGATGTAGTTCCATTTGTTTACATTCACTTTTGTTTCTGTTGCTGTTGGAGATAGTCCACAAAGACATCTTTGAAGCCAATACCTTGGAGTTGTTTGCCTATCGTTTTCTTCGATGTATTTTGTGTTTTGGGGTCATACATACAACTCTTCAACTCACTTTGAGCTAACAGGCACATAAGAAAAAGCTCATCTTCACTTAGCATCAGGGAACTGCACATCAAATCTACAAGAAGACACCACCTCATAGCTTGAGAATGGCCCACATCAAAAAGACCAGAGACAGCAAGTGTTGGCAAGGATGCAGAGTAACAAGACACTTGCTCACTGTTGGTGGGAATGTAGACTGGTTCAGCCCTGCAATTTGGTGAAGTGTGAGATGGAGCTCTACTTTTATTCTCTTGCATATGGCTGCATTTTTTTATTCTCTTGCACTTTTTGCAACACCATTTGTTGAAGACACTCCTTCCAGCATATACTCTTGGTTCCTTTTTATAGATTAATTGTCCACAGGTGTGTGGGTTTATTTCTACACTCTAAATTCTATTCCATTGGTGTCTATGTGTCTGTTTTTGTTCTTGTGCTATACTGTTTTGATTACTTTAGCTTTATAATAATATAGCTTGAAATTTGGGAGTGTGGTACCACTATGCTACCTTTTATTTTTTTGTGAAGATTGCTTTGGCTATTTGGGGTCTTTTGTGGTTCCATATGAATCTCAGTAATGTTTGTTCTGTTGCTTGGAAAATGACATTGTGGTCTTGAGAGGGATTGCATTGACTCCGTTGATGGCTTGGTAAGATGTCTCCCCTAATAAGCTGACACCTACTTTCAGGTTTTATTTTTTCTTGGTCTGCTAAAAATATTCTCCATATAGGAATCTCTCTGATGGGCTGCATTAGTGACTGTGTGTGTGTATGAACCAGGCTCATAGATCTAAGTACCTCATGTCTCTGAACATAGCTGTGTTTGGCACAGGTATGGACTAAATAGCACCTCCTGGAGTCCCTCCCAGGGGTTTTGGAAAGAAAGGATATTCCTCTTGCTGAATTTTTGGATGCAAAAGCCCCTGAATCCTCAGGGTGGGATAAGGAAAGGAGGTAAGGGAGTTTCTGTTTTGAAATCATCTGGGACAGTGATGTTTATATAGGAAAAAAGTAGGATCAAACCATGCAGGGAGATTACAGAAAGAGCATGATGGCATCATTTAAACCTCTTGATCCAGTCAAAGGATCTGAAATGTGTTGCATGTATATATGCACACACACACAAAAACACACACAAACACACACAATTCACATACAGACACATACACATGCATGAACACATGCACACACCTCTTTTTTAAAAATAGATTTTTGGGTGGGCATCACCAAAGTAACACATGCTTCTGTCTTTCACCACTTTCTCAAACCTGTATCTGCAAGCAGAGAGCCTCCTTGTCTGTTTTAGGTATAGGCTGATACATTCGGGGAGTGATATTGTGCTCCCTTTTGAAGGAGAGTAAGAAGACCTTTGTGCTTTTCTAGTCTGGGCCCTTTCTGAGGAGACAGAAGAGCTTTTCATGTTTCTGTTCATCAGAGGGGCAATGAAACTTCCCCTGTCTTTGAGTGGGAGGTAGCTGGTGGTCTAAACCTTTCTGGAACTGGTTTTTTGGGGGTAGCATAGCTATACCCAGAGACCAGTGCCATGCCTCTAAAGGAGAGCCAGCTCCAGAACCATCCTGGCACTGGGTTCTGGTGGACAATGTGTCCACATGCTGCTCTTCCAGAGAGACCTTTGCACCTAGTGTGTTTGCGAGACATAGCCACATGGGGAGGTAATCTACTGCTTCTTACACACCAAAACCTCCTTTCTCCCCCGTGCCATGATAACCATAGTATTCACCAGATGGAGTAGCTGCCATTCACCATAGTGATTCCTAACAGACTGCTGTACCCTAGTAATTGTCTCCCAGGCCATCTTGTCCTCCATGGGGACGGAGTAAGTGACACCACTGTTACTTATCAAAGGTCACTACAGGGGATTTGGACTACCCAAGGAGAAACTGTACCTTCTTATTATATTATTCAGTACAATGGGTGGGCCACAGTGTATGCTTAGTAAACTTGACTGAACTCCAATTTTTGTCTCTGCCCACACATACATTTTTTATATAGGTTGTATCTTAGCAACATAAAGCATTTTGTGTTCTTCATATTGTTACAGTACAGTTTTGGCTACACCCATCAATAACTGATCTCAGTCATGAGAAGGGACACTAGGGGGTGGGGATGTGTAGTGAAAATGGAAGGTTATTTATCCAGTCTGTATATGGCCCATGGATCCCATAATAAATATTTTTCTCTAACAAAATTAGAGAATCCTCATTTAATATATTGTCTTCAGTCTAATCAGGGACATAGAGTTACGGTTAAGCAAGATGAATCAACTCTAGCATCTGCCCTAAAGGTCATATTTGTGCTTGACAATGCGTGGCACACTTCAGCATTTGCTGAGACAGTACATCCCCTTCTGTGTTCTCATTACAGTTGAATACAACTCTAAAGAAAGACAGTGAGAATGGTTATGCCAGGAAAAGGAAATGTTAGCTTGTCTTTGTGTTTAGTTTACTTTGGAGAAATAAAAATAAACCACTTGAAAAGCAAATATTTAGAGTCAGTCTTCCTTTAAAAACAGGTGTGAAGTGTTTTACCAAAGAATAATTCACTTGTGTGTGTACGTAGTGAAAGAATACATCTTTTATTGCCTCTTGTTTTATGACTCTATATAAGCACACTTAATACATAAAAGAGTCCTTTCATTCTCTCACCCCTTTATAATTGTTTCATTTCACAAGCCAGACCCTGGGCTACTTTCAGAACCCCAACGTGAGATGACCAAGATGGG